AACTCCTCATGGTGGTCTCAACAACGTCCGCAGTAACATCACACATAGGGCGCACCGCACTATAGGGTGCGCCGCACTATAGGGCGCACCGCACTATAGGGTGCGCCGCACAGTTTGAGGGGGAAAAAAAGACGTTTTTATGCGCCTTATAGTTGTGAAAATACAGTAGGCTAATCCAAGATTAGAAAGAGAAGGTGGATGATAGATGTTTTATTTTCTTACCTTAATAAAAGGTTAATAGTCATTTTAGTTTCCATTTTTACGAATCCCTTAGTTGTGAGAAACATTGTGCATAGCTGTCAATATGCATATCGTACTGTATAAGGTCTATGAACCTTTTGTTTCTAAAAGTCAACTAATTGTTTATTATATCAAAGCTCAGAAGAGAGGACCAGGTATTCAGGCAAGCAGACAGTAGGATATCTCAAAAAGCATTTATTTAAAATGACGGATCTGGAGTGAACAGCGAGGGCATCTAAAGCAGGAACCTCTGCATGAAGAAAACAAAGGTTAATGACCATGTCAATCTGGCAGAGGAAGATTATGAACGTGTGAGTCACAAACCTGGTCTTATAGTTCAATGTCCAGATGTAGATTTCAGCAGGACAGTTGCTGACAAGACGCGACGAACCCTGTCCAGAGAGTCATAGACGTTGTATGACTCACGAAGTTGATCTTAGGGGAAAGGAATTTGAATGTGAGGAAACGATTTTAAAAAAGGTGCGTACTAAATTTAAGCTGCCTTTTTAAATTATTTGTGTCATATTTGTTTAGCAGTGTTGTCCTAGTGCTTAGAGCAGTGCACTTGTGCTCTGAGAAGGTTGCAAGAACCCGGTGGGATCCCCATGGCCTCCACTCTGGGTTCCTGAGCAAGAACCCTTAACCCCACACTGCTCCCCAGGCGCCACACAATGGCAGCCCATTGAACCCCAAAGGGATGGGTTAAATGCAGAGAGGGAATTTCCCCATTGTGGTACAATAAAAAGAATTTACATTACACACCACACTGCGGTTTTAGTCTGGTTTCAGTTTCTCTTAGTCATCATTTGCGTTGCTAATTTTCCCTGTCTTCAAAGTGTGGAGAGAAGGACCGCATATTTTCACGCCAAGTTTGTTTTGTCCTAAATCACAACTTTTGCATGGAAGTTGGAATACGCAAGTTTCAGGCATGCAGAAAATGGTGCCTATATAAATAAGATCCAGCGTTGTTTACATACAGGGAAGAAATAAATGGAACCAGATGAAGGATTATCTGTTGAATCTGAGGGCTGAATGAACCTGAATGATTGATGACAAAACCAAAAATGGGTGTTGTTATGATGTGGAGGTAGTTTGATGACCCATTTACCGGCTGTCGCAGGTTTGAGTGCCAGTACTGCTGACCTTCACCAAATGTCTCTCCCCTATCTTGTAACCCACTTTCCTGTCTACATACTTTAAAAATTAACAAAATAAAGGCCACTAGAGCATAAAATAAAAAAACAAGAAGACTTGTAGAAAGATTGGCATTACAAAAGAAGAAGCAGTATAACGGCAGTGGCGCCCGTTTTAAAGAAAACTGTTTGGTTCCTCATAAACTGCAACATGTTCAAGGATATTCATCCAGTAACTGAGTTTATTTAGCAAGTGAACCGTTTTAGGCAGTTCTGTATCAGAAAGAGCTTTAATGTCCTTAACCATCTAAAATTACTAACCATCTGGTGCGGTCCGGTTTCTCTACAACTCATTTAATCATTTTATCTTAAAAATTTTTTACCTTTTGAACCTCCTTTCCTATACCATTTTGATGGAAGTGTTCCACACTGGCTCAGTGTGGTTTCCTCACAGTCAATATAAAGAAAATAAATGAAAATTAAATGGATATTTAATTAGATCAAACCTGGCAGCTCTGTCTTCTACAGCCAGACTAAATCCAAAGTGGGTGTGCGTGCTGATCGTGTCTGGGCCCTTCGTTGGCTTTCAAACAGCCTCAGTAAACAGAATTTTTCTTGTAAATGAAACACAGCTCGACTGCTGAGTACAAAGAACTTCTCTAAACATGTTGTCCAATAAAGTAAAGCTTTTAGTCTGATGGTTCTGATAATTTGCACTCATGTTTTTTTTCGTGGATGTATACAGTTCAGCTCATTTTTGAAGGCAGGACACATAAACACATGCAGAGAAACAAAGATCAGCTTTAGGCTTCTCTCTATTACTCACACATCCTCTCTCTCCTCTATCTGTTGCTCCCCTCTGGTTTCTCTCCTCCTCTGTCCAGTCTCCTTCTCGATATAGTGACAGCTATAATGAATGAATAGACTCTTTATTGAGTGGCCTGCAGCCCTCACCTCTTTAGTGTATTGAGAGGGTGTCTGACTTTCTTTAGACTGTCTATTAACCTGGGCTGTGTTTTCAGGCTGGTGGAAAGCAGAAGCAGGAACACAAATACAATGATTTCACTCTGCTTTATGTGTCCAGAGAGGTGTGTGTTTTTTGTTTAAGGGTATTTCTAACCTTTTTATAAATGGAAAAATTTAAAACAGCGTAAACAAACAACGTAACAAATAAAATTGAGGTGCTAGTAAACCTGTAGTTATTCAATTAGATTGTTTTTAGGTTTGCTGCTAAGAAATCAGGTAGATCCAACAATCATATCTATTTTCTGTTAAAACATTATATCGTTAAAGCTTCTGTTAAATGGAGTGTAGGGCTTTTGCAGCTGTTTTTTGATAGAACTTTCATGTAAAGCTTGGGGGGGGGCATATATCCCGTTCATGAGACGATCTAAGATGGAGCACACCAGAAACCCATTTTTCTCTTCTTACTTTTTTTCTCATTCTTATATGCATAAAAACTTATTTCATTTTCTTACACTTAAATAAACCTGACTGTATCTAAAGTTACTTAAAAAGAGATATTTACATATTCATAAAAGGATATTTTTAACAAATTTCAAACAGGAAGCATAGCTAAACTTTTCCAGGTATAGATTAGTAAGGATTATTTGGGAAAATAGGAAGTTATTATGGATACTTTTGACAAATTTAAAAAAAGAGTAATTAAGCTTAAGCACCTTCCCCGAAGCCAATCATCTTGCTAGATGATCCCCTTCATTTAGCTCCTGGCCCAGCTTCTCTCTCCCATACACAAGCGAACTTTCACCAACCTCCACCCCATCTCCTCCCTCTTTCTAAGTCTTACTCATCCTTTGGCTTATTCCATAACAATGTGGGGCCAATCAACCTTATTTCATTTATGTCTTCAGCCTTTTCTGTCTTCTTCAACCCCAGTCGGCCTTGGCAGACTGTCGCTCACACTGAGCCTGGTTCTGCTGAAGGTTTCTTCCTGTTAAAAGTGAGTTTTCCTCTCCACTGTCGCTACATGCATATGCAGTGCGAGGGATTGCAGAGAGTCGAAGAGTCCTCCCAATCAGCTGGTTTTCCTTAGATAGAATATTTTGAAGATTATGATTGCCTTGCCTGTTTAAATGAATTTAATATTTTCTAATAGAAACTTTTCTATGTCTGAGTTTCCCCAGGTTGAAATACAAGTTTATAAGTATTTGGTAAAATTACCTTGAAAATCTTCCAACTTTGCAGGTGAGAACTGTTGTGGTGTTTTAATACTCTGAAACCTCCTGAAAAAATACTTATTTTGATTACAGTTTATCTTTAAATCTTCCTGCAGTCTTCCTTAAGGCTTCTGAAATATTTACACGGACACAGCCTACAGTACTGCTTATTCCTTATCAATGAATACTCTTGTATTTAAGGAAACAGTAGCTTTTAAGGGGTAAAAAACAGTGTACACATTCTAACTTCCCAAAGGATGCTGTCTCTTTACCCCACTCAATCTTTTTCCATGTGGTGTTACTAAATCAAGTCTTTTTTTTTTTTTTATCTCTGCAGCAGTTCTTTTTACTGACAGCACTTTATATCAAATGTCTTTGGGGAAAGATTGATTCCCCTCACACTGAGCTCTCTATGTGATTTCCAGAGTGAAAGATAAGATTTAATATAATTCATGGGTCTGGATTTGGTGGTATTCTTATAGAAAACAAAAAAAGTCTGCATCATCAATACTGCCAATATAGACTGAAATACATATGTTGTAAAAAAAAAAAAAAAAAAAAACTTGAGCCATGATGTCACAAAACTTCATGTCATTGGAAATATTTCTACTTTTATAAAATGTTTTAAATGTTTGAGCAAGATTTAAAGACATGTTCACATTTCTTCTAGTCTTAATTGGAAAAAACATGCTATTTAGAATGAATTGACCTAAAATGAAGCCTGCTTTTATGGCAAATTGCTAAACCATCTACTCAAGTTGTCAAGGACATAACAGCTTCTGGCTTTAATTTAGAATTAAATATATTTTGTTGAAAATAAGTTTTTTTGTTAATCATTTGTGGTCTTCTTGTAAAATATCTCCGTTACATAGATTGTCAAACCCATGTGTGTTCTTGTTTTGTTTAAATATTTCTTTAATATTTTTTATATTTTTCCGTCACTTAAAAAAAATCTCTGTTAATTTAAGGAACAGTTGGACCTTAATGTGTACAAGCATCAAAAATAATTTTTTTGCTGCTTCTATCGCATACGGTCTGAACATAGCATAATACTTCTGGACTTTTTTTGAGTCCGATGCTGAAGGTGTAAATAGTCACTGCTGCCTATCTCTGGTTTAGGGGGCAACTGCTTGTTCCTGCAAATAATGTTAAAGAATCTTTAAAAAAATTCCTGCATCCGGATTTTGATGTGAATCATCAACAAAATTTTATGGATCGTTCTTGAGGTGCACTTTTAGTAAAAGTTCATTAAAATCGAGTCATAACTTTTCAAGTTAACCTGTACACAGACAGACAGACAGACAGACAGACAGACAGACAGACAGACAGACAAAGACACAAATTTGACTAAAAGCATGACCTATAAGCAAAACAACAAAAACTCCTGTGTGTAAATTTTATCCATTCCAAATGATATCTTATTTATTTATCTTTTTGTTTGTATGTACAGGTTTTATTTACACTGGAGATGTGGTTCATCGGATGCTCACAGCAACACAGTACATCGCTCCCCTGATGGCCAACTTTGACCCAAGTGTCTCAAGAAACTCTACTGTTATTTACTTTGACAATGGTGAGCTTTTGTGTTATCTTTTTCAATTAATTTTAATGAGGATACAACTGCAGTTCTCTGTTATCTTTCTAATATTAATTAATCTCAAACTGAGAAAAATAAAATAATTAATCAGCACTATTCCTTATCATTGCAAACATGAATTCATCAGATTATGTGTCTCGTTTTTGTTGTTCTTCTGTTCTGAATATTACATATAATCTGGGATGGGGGGATTCAAGGTTTTCTGTTTTGGTTTCCTGCTTTGCGATGAGGATGGAGATGATAGCGTGAAGGAATCAACTCTATTGCTGTGTTGTAGGTTTTTGAAAACCCTAACTGGGCGTTTGTCAAATTAGCAAGGAAATCCAAAACATGCACAACAGATCATAAAGGCTTGATTTAACGCAAAAACATCGCCATCCCATATGTTGCTGGAGTCTTTGAAAACTCAAGAGAATTTTCTCCAAACACAAATTCCCAGTACATTTCAGACTAAACAAGACCCTTAGATCGAGGCTGGGGCATCCTTAGAACAAAACCCCCAAACCTAAGATGAACAGATTGGTGTATAGAGTTCATTGCAGTGTTGAATGCTCTGATCTTCATAAAGTAAAGTCTGAAAACATAAGTGAAAATTGTCTTTAAATAAGTGTAATTTTCATTGATTTGATCAGGTATATCAGAAATGTTCTCAACTCAATAAGATGATTTGCATTTGAAAAAATAGAAAACACCTCAGTTATCACTTATTTTACTATATTTTCACTTGTTTTTTTTTTTTTATCTGTTTTGTAATGTAACTCTACACACTATGGCTACATGATATTAGAAATCTTGAATTTAGGATACAGTTGGTATATATGGCAATGAAGATGTTGTCAATGTCAGTTGTATTTTAATAGCTACATATGTTGACCAAAGGGCTTCACATAAAAGTAAAAAAACAAGTACAATCAGAGGACCGCCATAGAATCAGCATATACAATAAAATAGGATAAACAGAAAACTATAATATAGAAACATCAGATGATAACATGGAGAAATCACAACCTGATAGGACTCAACCAAATATGAGTTGTAATATACTCCTGGTTTCCTCTCTCTCATCTTTGCTTCCTACACTCTGGAAACTTTAGTCATTTGTCATCAGAGTGTGCAGAAAGTATCTGCTGCCATTGCACTCTATTCACCTGGACAGACATTACATTACACTGCAAAAATGTAATCCCATAGCTTGAAATAAATCATCTAAAAATGACCAGACTTGAAACAATCCTCTGCACACACTGATATATACCTATGTCTACCTATGTCTTGGATCATCCTGGATCTGAATTAGTAGTAACCTGGAAAGCCAGATTGATAATGTGTACTTTAATACTATGCTCAAGTATTAATGTGGGATTGCTTCTGCCAAATCAGTTCGCAAAAATGATTGCTATTCAGCAAAACCTTTTGATCTGATTGCCTGCAGTGACAGCTTGTGCTGGCCTTCCAAAGTTTGGATTTACAACAGTCTAAACATTTCCGCTTTTACTATTCTTCAATAATTAAATCCTTGATTCTAACCAATCAGATGGGATAGCAGCAGCTATGCATATGTCCTCCCGCACTGCCATGTATATTTTGGTTTAGCTGTGGGGTTGGCAGCTCTTGCTTTCATGACACCTTTATTGACCAGCCTGTTTTTTTGGGGTCAGGCTCAAATGATTTAAGCTGGAGTGATACAATATGGTTTCTTGTGTGTATGTGAACTCACAAATACAGAGATAATTCAGCTTGCAGGGGAGGTTATAATTGCAGTGGTTTTTACAAAGTTTTAACTTCATGGTGATGCATGCCCTTTCTTTGGTCTGTCAGATAAAATGCCAATTAAATACTATGAACTTTGTTGTTCTAAATTGACTAAATGGGATGAATTTAAATGGTAATGAATATGTTTGCAAGCCAGAGCCTCCCTATCTTTCCTATTCTGTGTATTGTCAGTCTCATCCATCACTTTTCTCATCACTGTCTCACTCTCTGTAGCCGACTGACAGACCAACTTTGTGACCTTTTTCAGAGAAGCTCATCAGACTTTAACGACAACACAGCCGATCGATCAGCAGCGTAGCCTGCTGTCTATCAGTCAGCATTCTGCCAATGAAAAAAACAGGAACGACACAATCCACTGTGCCTTCATTAAAAATGTAAAGACAAGTTTGATGAAGCGTTCACAGTAGAGACGAGCTGTTTGTTCACAAACAAAGCTGTGTGCGGTTTGTGTGAAAATGAACGACTCCAGGAAGCCTGGCTGTCTGATGATCTGCTTTGTTGCTTTTTTGTTGATTAGAATTCTAAAAAAAGATGAAATATGACAGGCGAAGACGTGACTCTCACATGCTCCTGTCTTGGTTAACAAGTCCTGTTTTAACCGTCTAACAAATTCCCCTAATGAGCTTTTGTAATTATTTATTAAACATTTTAATTACATTTATTTGATTGTTCATAATGCACATTTAAAACAATGACAAACATATTTAGCCTTAATTATTATGCTTAGGACTGCCTCTTATCCATTAGTCTGACATTTTGCTATGAAAAAGTTTGAGAATAATACCTTGTAATAATGAAACTCCAGTCACACATAATTACAGTCTCTGTTTCCATTTCTTTGGGATTCTTTTTTTTTCTTCAGTTTTGTGCTTGATGACTCACTACCAACGCTCAGCTACACTTCACACATCTGTGCCGGATCAGACACTTATATTTCAAAAGTAAAGTGAAAAAAAAAAGTTTTTAAGAGTTGGATCAAAATCTTCTGAATTCTTTTAAAAGATGTAAAAACATATATCTTTTCTGAATCAACCAAAGTCTCTTGATTATTGTTGGTAACCTTGGCCATATAATACAATTCCTTAACCCATACCTCGCTTCCCCTTCTCATTGGCCATCTTTTCATTGCCATTATGGTACTTTGGTTATCCCAGATGCCACTGTTTGCACCTGCATGCTTGATAAGAGATTCTACCCCCTTAATAATTATTAATGAATCTCCCAGTTCCATGGTTTTTATTATTTATTTTATTTTTTCAGCGCTAGTGGCTCATGTTTTTGAAAGTAAGCTATGAGGGGGGAGAGACATGCGGCATAGAACCACAGATGGGATTCGAACCCAGGTCGGCCATGTCGTGGACTAAGGCCTTTCGTACATTGGCCGTGCGCGCTAACCACTGCGGTCATGGTTTCATTAAACAACTTGTTTATAGATGAGCAGGTGTTTCCTTCTCAGATCCTCCAAACTCATAAAGAACAAGGTACAATTCTGCCTGATTTGCATGTAATGGCTCAATTAAAATTCTAAAATTCTAATTCAAAAATACTTTATTAACCCCAAATAAAAATTAAATGTTGCAGTAACTGTCTGCCTCTTACTGAAGACACCTGTTTAACAGTCTGCTGATAAGGATGTTCACTGTTGTTCAGAATGTTCTTCACTTTATGAAAAATTGTCTCTAGTGTTATGGTTCTGCATGGGACAATCAAGGGTGTTTTTGAAAAATAGTCCTCTGTTAGATTTTTGCCCCATTGACAGAGATTGTCATGGATTACTCACTGAAAGTTGCACTTACAGAAATCAATTTTGTAAAAATAGAAACAGCAGCCAAAACTCCAGACCCAATTTAGATATAGAAGAAAAGCTTCCCCTCCTTTGTTTTTAAAGGTGCTTAAGGAAGTTATAAAATATGTGGGGTGTATTTTGTTTTTATTTTTCATTTTTGCTTTGTTGAAAACAAACTTGATCTTGTTGTGTTTTTACATTTGAGATAATACTAAAATCATTGTTAACATATTGCATCTCAGAACAGTTTAATTATACTCTGATGCATGAAAATCGGAAACAGAGACCTGATTTCTTTTGATCATAATTACATTTCTCTACTTTCTTTTTCCTACATTCAATCTTCTAACACTTGGGTCACAGTGTTCTGAAAATATGTCATCTGTCTACTCATGAAACATGTGCTCAGGCAAGTCATCCATAAATTTCTTACAGAAGCTCATGTGCAACCGGTCGCCATCTCCTAGCTGTCAGCAAAGAAGCTGGATCTCATATTTACTTGAATGGAAGTGTTCTGTGTGTGTAAAGGAAAAATTGATTGGCTGCTGTGTAAACAAACTTTTATTACCCTGGCAGAGAGCCCAATGGCTTTCACATCAATAGGTTCTCCAAAGTCCACAGTAAATCAACCTGATGTTAAAAGTAATGCAAGGTCCATTCTGTGGAGGCCAGAGTTGAAGGCTTTTTTACAGAATTATTCCTTGATTTATTCCCCCCTGCAGTCTGGATTCCGTTGGACTTCTGAGTTTTTTAACAGTCCACTGTCTTCTTTATAATCTTCTGAATCTTTTTTTAAACTTAATTCATGTGTTAAAAATATTATAAATTCCTCTCTGTGCTGTAAGAACATTGATTATTTAGATTTCCAATTCCTTCTGTTGATCAAATCATTTTTTACCTACTTAGACTGAAAAAAATGTTATTTAACTTTAAGGTAACATACAGCATATGAGCAAAATGCATACCTGTTCTAAACCTGCATAGATTTCCTTCTGACACCTGGCAAACACCCGAATGAAGAAAAAAATGCAACAAAAAAAACTAACTACCGGTAACAAAAAAAAAAAAATCAAATTCTTGAGGATAAAACATAATGCATTGATCCAGGCA